CCAATGTAACATGTCTTTTAATGTCCTGACTACTGGCACTCAGGTTGTTGATGTGCATCTAAGATTAAATCATTAACAATTTCTATCTTTTCTCTATGATGATGGTACCTACTGGCCTAGTAGTGAATATTTTCATTTTCTTTATGTGGAGATGTACTGAGAACTCTGGGAATCCACATTTTCTTTCAACATTAAAATATTTAAATATTTTGTAAAAGTGTTTTCTTTAAAAAAGGTGTTTTCTCTATTTGCTTGGTAAATAATTTCTCATTAATCTTTTGATATTTACTTTATTTAAAAGTACAACTTATATCATTTGAGATCTTAAGTAGCATTATGAAGACAGAGTTATCTAAGTTTGTGTACTGAATATTTTAAAAGAAGAGAAGTTTGGCATGCATGCAATCACATACAGCTTTGCCAGACTCTTTGCAAAGGGACCATTTGGCAAGAGTTTGTCTTCAAACCTGTGAGATATTTTTACAATATAATTTAAGCTTTATTATTGTTTAATTTGCTTTACATTTTCCTGTTTTAGATGGTAATTGTGATGATTGAAAGTAAGTTTTACAATATGGTCTTTTCCAAGGCAGCAAGTACAGCAATTTGGCTGTTTCATGTCAAACCTCCCAAGTCCTAGGTTAATGTGTATTGCAAGTGATTCTCATCCTTGTAGGTGTTTCTCCCTCCCCATGTTAGAAAGCCTGAGATTCCCCCTGAGTCAATGCTGGAGGACAGAATGCAGTCATCCTTGACCCTCCTTCTCCTCATCTGCTGCCCGAGTACTTTAAGATTTCACCTCCCAGCACAGCCTCAGAACCTGATGGGGAAGCTCTGCAAGTCAAAAATGATTTTACTTTATTTAATATCTCACCTTCCCAAGGACGGTGTGGACTAGTTAAGTCATATTCTAATGCCTCCGAGTACAGTTCTGAATGTCATCCTGGGTTAGTTACTTAATAAAGCAGCCAAATTCAGTCTTGTGTCTTTGCCATGTTTGTTTGAACAGCAGAGACATCATATTAGTTGGGAGGAATTTAAATAATTATTATTTTGAGACACTATGCTAAGTGCTTAACACAAAACCCATCTTCGTGTGCCTGGTGATTGGTACTGATGCATTTGAATCCTGACTGGAATCCAGTGGCTATGTGTTTAATCTTGCTTGGAAAATGTGTGCATACTTTGCATGGTAACATTTGGAAAGACCTCTCCAGCTGCTCCTCTCTGACGGACTCTCAATGAGAAATGGATCATTTCATCTTCCCCCCCTTTTTTTTACACTTTTGATATTTGTCTTTCTGGGATCATGTGGAAAATGGAAAGCTGAAACTGAAAAATAAGCCCTATGCTGGTTTTCTTGAACTTGTGTGTCCTTATATTCTCATCTACCTGCTCACAGAGAGAGG